TATAATTGTACATTTGATAAGAATAGTCTTGTAAATGGACTTCAATGGAAGTTCAATACATGGACAACTTTTCAACTTAAAAAGTTCGAATTTGAGTCATCAATGTTGTTTAGTTTATTACTTTGTTTATAGAAATATTTTAATTTTCCCTCTATTAACAAATATTAAAATAAATATATACAATTTTATTTTTTGTGAAGTTCTGACCTAATAAATGAAACTATAATGAAAAGAATAGAATACATTTTATGATCTTTCTTTTCTCATTCAAGCTCATTCATCCAACTTTTTTTCAAATATTTTGTATTTATTAGATATTTGATTTATTTAAAATTACTAAATTTAATTATTATCACAAAGTATTACTTGTGTGGTTTTAGAAGCTAAAGGCTATGAAATGATGTATACTTGTGATAATTGTTCGCACATCTAGTACAAATATATATATATATATATATCAATACATTAATATTAATAAAAAAAAGAAGAATCAATCGTAGGATATTATTAAAACAATGGGAAACAAACATCTCTAATATGAGGAAATAACAAACCAATTTTAACAATTTAGGCATCAGAAAATGATAAGATCACATAAATGTGGATAGTACAACTCACTTACAAATAATTACAGTGCATTACTCTTTAGATATTTTAGTATTTAATATCAGTTAATTCAGATATATAATCAGAATATTTGCACCATATTAAAGATATTCTCTTCAATGAGGTCAGTAACCAATCATGTAATGGTTAATTCATATTTGATCCAGACACATAACTGCCGATGGATATAAGTGGCCGCCAAGTCATGGACTAGCTGCCTCAGAAGTAGAAGGCACTCATGAGGTGTAATTTACAAGAGATTGATGGCGAGCAGGCTATTTGAAAAATGGAACGTTGTCCAATGAGGTTATTCTGTTATATATGTATCTATTGATAGCATATTATGTATTAATGCAATATCAAATTATATAATACATTTGATATGCTTTTATTAAACTGGACTTTGAAGGAAAACCAATGACTTTAAGATAATGTGTAATTATTTAAAGCTTCCAGCGTTGGTAATTCGAAACATCAAAAGATCAATTAAAGTTGGGAAAATGAATACTTTTGAAGATTTTATAGTTATAAGAGAATATCTTAAGTGTTCACGAAACGACAGCCAGGATCTCAGCTTCATCACTCCTCAGCTAGGGGCTGCGGGTCAACCGGTATTTCCAGTATCGTTAATGGGCCAAGACCAATCTGTCGGACGCCGAATGTCCTCGACAATCATTTTTTGGGCAGTTCCCGATAATAGCCGTTGTAAAGTATCGTTATTTATCGTCCTGCCTATCGACAGCTCCTACCCTCTGGTCAGGAGTTATTAGAGCCGGATTCGTTGACGACCAAGAGACGGGATTGTACGGAATTTCGGTAGAAATGGCCCGTTGGGAGATTGAGGCCCGTTGACAAAAAAATAAAAAGAAGAAAAGGAGGAGATAGAAAGAGAGAAAAAAAGGAGAAAGGACACTGAAACATAGAGGACGGAGATAAAACAAAAAAAAAAAAAAGGATACAGGACACATTATCTAAGGATCCATCAGCATTTGTCAAATAGAAACCGGTCCACAAGAGCAGCTGCCTGTTCGTCCTCCGCTGTCTGTCATTGGTAGTCTACCGATGTCTGTCTGTCTGTTCTGATCCAGCGGAGCGGAAAACGCTCTCGGGTCTGTCTAGAAGATTTAGTCCTGTTGCTGATTCTTGGAGTTATTGTAAACATTTTCGTCCTGTACTCTATCTTCAGTCCAATTACGTAAGGAAACAAATCAAAAGGGATTATTCCAAATTTCAAATAAAATAGCTCGAACTCTTTCCCACGACCCAAGGAAGAATGACAAAACAATGGAGCAAAATTTTAAATGATTTTTCACAATGTGTAAAAAAAAAATAATAATAAAATAAAAACAAGGTATTTTTCCTTAATTTTACATATCTTCGCTGACCGCTTATTGAAATTCCTCTAAACATACTTCGTATAATTAACAGAAATAAATTAACAAATGGTTTCATCGCTTATATCATGCATATAAAAATTGTACATTATTACTAGTAATGTGATATTCTGTTGTATATATGTATTCCATATTCTTTCAAAATGATAACCGACGTTTCTATCCTCAACTACAGATAAATTTTAATTAAATAAATTTCAATAAATCAGTAGTTAGCAAGAAATGTTGTTTTATTGATTGATAGAAAAATATTCCTAAAATTGTGGTGACAAGTAAATATTTGGTAATGTTATAATATAGTCCTAATAGTTTGAATATTTTTTTTTACTATGGAACTTCAATTTATGAAAATTAAGTCTTTCAGAGTATTTCAAAAAATCCGTCATTTTTGTTTTCTTTCTCTTTCTGGACCTTTCTTTATTTTACTTTTATTTTTGACCAAATTATAATAATATTGAAAATTGTTATTATAAGTTGATGTTCCTGTTATTGTTTTATTTTATCACTCGTTAAATTTAAAGTAATTTTTTAGACTTTAGTGTTCTAACAAATGTCCTATGACGCTGGACAATGACGAATAAACCTAACTTATTTTTATTTTATTTTTTTGAATACTTGGCTGCATTTTTAGTAGTTCTTAGAAAAATTTATGAGTGATAAATGAAATTTGAAAGTTTATTCTCTATGAATTTTTACCGAAGAATTTTTAAGTTTATAGCTATGTTATAGTGTTCTTTGTATTTGTGTATTACTTCATAGTTCTAAGCTGATATCAAGAAAGTAAAAAAAAAGGGTGACATTTTTTTAAATTTAATTTATTTCAAGTATGTGTTCGTTTTTCGTTATTGATTTATTTTAAAATGTTGAAATTATAACAATCAACATTTTACTGTGAATTAGTTTTTCGCATCGTTGTATTTGTTTGTTGGTAATTTATTTATTATTTTTTTGGGGTGGGGAGGAGTGGGGTAAGGGTTCCAGGGCAGATTGCCCCTTTGGCTACCCCATAGCTAATGTAGTAATGAATACTGCAAATTCGAGTCCCGGTGTCGGGAGCATTTAACTCTAGTATTAATCTCTTCCCCTCTCTCCTGACCCATATAACCGAAAAGGTGAGGAAGAGGAGTGAAGAAAAAAAAAATCCGTTTTGAGTTCTTTGACTTAGTATCTTCCGAAAAAAATCTAATCATTATATTTTTCTCATATTTAAGTTTTATATATTTTTTATTTTATTTGAAAATTAATACATTCTGTCACATTGGAGGGCATTAATATTAGGGCTACACTAAACATTCACACAATACATACATACAAATGTTAACTAAAATAGGAATAAAAGAAAAAGAGTTGTAGAAAATAAAATAAGAAAAAATAATAGAGAGAAACTAAATGGAATTAAAATATATAAAATACATTCATTCCTATATACAGTATTTACATTCGGCCAGGGGATTCTGAGTCGTGCTTTGCCCCCTAAATGTGGAAGCCAAGGCAGGACCCCAGGAGATCCCAGTGCTTCTCTCCCAGCCGCGTCACTGGTATTGCAAACCAGTGGAGACTGATGGAGGGCATTAGAGCAACAGCCGCTCAGGACTTGAGTAGAGAATCTGGCTATTGCCAGTACTCCAATATATACATATTTACAAAAGGTCTCAGGGCCACTGCCGTTTTAACCTTCGGGGAGGATTGTAGGGATGGCTGGAGCTAGACAGGGATTGTGCTACAGGATTTAGATGATGAGTGAGGTTCTGGTGATATTTGGGAAATTTATCTGGGATTAGGTCAATAACAAATGGGATATGAACGTCATTATGGAGGGTTTTATTGGTTACGTAGAAGGGAGCATCGACTATTGTTCGGAGGACTTTTGATTGAAAGGATTGAATACGCCTTATATTTTTTATAAATTATAATTTAGTTAGCAAATAATTGAGAAAGTGTATAGTTAACATGTACAAAATTTTGTTTTAATTTTTTTACTTATTGATGAGAGCTCACACATTCAGTTTGGACACAGAATCTTTCGTATGTTTAGTATTTGCCTTAATAAATATTTATTTTCTGATGTCAAATTAAATATATGCATCGCTTTAGGTATAAAAATGATCTCTTTGGGGGCGTTATTGGAACATATTTGCCGTCCCAGAGGCGATAAATACCACAATAAACAGAAGCATTAAATAATAAACTAGACAGAGCATGTAAGACGGGGGCACCCTGACAGACAGTTACAAGACAAATGATAGCCGGCGCAGTGTCAGGTGTGGAAGATCAATCAATATCGCCTTATTTAATTACCGCTAACTGTTGACTGATGGCCGGTCTCTGCCTCTGTTATCCGCGGTATTAGTGACGTTTTAATCGTGGTCGTGGGTGTCGAACATGTCGCCAGTATTATATCTGCGTGCGTGTGCATATAGGCGTAGATTGGTAGGTGGCCATTAATATAAGAGGGTCGTATTGTTGATAATAATTTTAGTGATGCCGTATACTAAGATGGGTTGGAGGATCACACAGGAACTCTCGTATCCTGCATATATTGCGCAAATATTAGACAGATATTATTATTAGTAGGTATGAGAGTAGACGTATGGATGGACTAACCATTGAAAGAATTTAGAAAACAGTTTTTCTAGCTTTGGAACTGATTTAAAAGAATTGTGATCCTAACTTATTAGCAGGCTGTAATAATTGTCGCTTCTGCTGTTCCACTAATAAATTTAATTTATGCCAGCAATTGAATGAGAAGGTGATTTTAAAAGGCATAAATATCGTTTTACTGCGGATATCAGTAAACTGTGGGTTATCGGGTAATAGAAATTCTGACCAATTTGCAAAATATCAGTGCCGGAAAAGATCAGCCAGGTATGCCAACATCCATCTTCTTGAAGGCAAAAACGCCAATTATTCACCGTAGAGTTGCAAGAGAAATGACAATCGGAGTTAAAAGAGAAATAATGGCCTTCATTACTCGAAGAACATGGACGAATGCAAATAGATTTACCAAGGAGTCATGCTTTTGCACCATTTCGGATGAACATTGGACTGTCTTTCAAGCCACCTCCACTGTTTTGGAGTTCCACTGTGTCGGCAAGGATCTATGACCACTCTGCATCTTCTGACTTGCACCGAACCAAAACTAAGACCAGGCGTTAGACCCAAAACTAGGAATGAAGAAGATGAAGGACGATTAGGCATAGGATAAAAAAAAAAGTCACTGATGCAAAGAAAATATTTAAAAAATGATTAACGTCTTCGTGCTCATTCCGCGTGTCTGCTCATTTGGATATATATATTGCCATAATATTTAAATTAACAATTATCGTTTATTAAAATTATCCTGAGTATAGCAATGGAGAGCGATGAGTTATAGTACATAAAATATGTACACGTTATGAAGCAAAATATATTTAGGTGACGGTTTGATGATGATGTACTTTAGAACAGATCCTAATGATGCCAATCATTGAGAGATTGATAGAAGATCGGGACAGTTATGAAAACCTCTCAGATCATAATCAATCACTTCAAATCTATCCATCTTCTTGTTGGGCGCCAATAATGGTCCAGATTGAAAAATATTTTAATTTCATTGATCCCATCAATATATCTGTTTCGGTAAACTATTATGGATGTAACTTACTGACTGTATTTATGATAATAAATTGTAAATCGGTATAACTATCAATGTTAAAAATACAAAAGAAATTAAAAAGATCGAATTTTAAAAAAAGATGTTTTTGGGTTGTAACACAAAGAAGAATTCTTATTTTTAAAAAATGGCTACCTAAACTTTATATATGCATTTATTTTAACACTGATTCAGGTTATTTACAACAATAAATTAATTGTAAACAATATAGGTCACTGAATAACCTGGTTAGGTGGGAATCTTTCTTTGAATCCTACTGTATTTAAGAAAATAATTAATAAAATAAATAATTTCTTATGTGCCTATCCTATTCTTTTTTTTTTTTTTTTTCATTTTTTCCTCTTCAGTGTCACCTGGTCAAGTTGTTTCTCCAGGTGTTTCTTTGGGAGGACCTCATTTTAGTTTTCGGATTCTTGAGGACCATTTTATGATCTTTCTGTTCCATACATCTTTAGTTCTTGCTATGTGTTATGTCCATTTCCATTTTTACTATGGATATGTTAAATGATATCAGAAAGATGGGTCACTTTGCTTATTCTTCTATCTATTTTCTGCACACACTCCATTGCTCTGATAGCAATCTTAAAAAGTTCTTAGAATGAATTTTGAATTTTTTTGTCTTTAATAGATTTTAAGAGTAATCAATTGCATACTGTCTTATGCAAATATGCAAAGAATTATCGCTTATTGTTGTAATTCTATACATAATGTGTTACTAATTGAGAAGTTAATGTCATATTGCCAAAGGAGATTTATAACTAAGTTTAATTGTCGATTTTGTGTGCAAATATCCAACAACGAACATAATTGACTGTAGTGAACATTGAGTCTCGCCTCAGTTTTTTTTTAACTGGTGGTATGTTATCGTTTCCGTTACGACCGGTCCAGGAGATTTTCTGTCAGGATCCTCTCCTTATATCCGAAATTTATTTCCCTTTACCCTCTTGAGGGGAGGGGGGATATTGAAGGAAATTCAGATTCCCAGGGTATATCTGCAAAACCATGATGGACTAAGACTGTTTCTGGAAGTTACACCCAGAATGGCTTCATAATACCTTAAACCTATTGGACTATTAAAGCCGCTGGTCGGAGCTGCTTAGGCGAGCCACTTCGGAATAAATTATCGATAAAATTCTCGATAGACACGGCAATCGATCTTGGAACCTATTTCACACATGTTACCACCGGCAGGACCAGTTCAGGTCTTCCAACTCTTGCATAGACGATTTTCATGTTTTACAATAGTTTATTGGTTGTCTACTTGCTTGTATTATCCGTTGTGTATTCAGGCTCTTTAGCTCTTCTCCCGGTCTTGTTATGAATCAATCTTTAGGAAAATTTATCTTTAAGTCGCTCTGATTGATCAAACCTCATTACTACTACTTGGATATTGATAGTTTTTTTTACTTTAACTAAATACTTTTTTGTGTTTTTGAGATATTGCTAAAACTATCTAGTTCATTAGGAAAACAATTTTTTTTTTTTTTGATTGACCAAATTACTTTTAAAAAGTTTCCTCTTCCCTCAGCACTCCTTCATAAGGATTCTATGCCACTTCTTCCGTTCATCCGTCCAGGATCTTCGCTAGTCTTCGCGGTTCTTTCGACTTGGATTGAATTTTCATACCTGGAACCACGGTCCGAAACTTATTCCTTTCCAACCTTAGAACCTCCCGGATGTTTGACCTAATAATGTTTAACTTCGGAGCAACATTGAAATATACAAAAAAAAGTAGAGAAAATCTCGAAAACCACGAGAGCTCTCCGGACTACATATGAAACAAGAAGATGACAACGGTATGTGTTAATGATGTTCGTAAAGATCTAAACGATAAGGTTAAATAATATAAGATGTAAAATATTTTTTTATTGATATATTTTTTCATAGGAAGTTACCATTCATCAATTTATTTGTCGCAGCTGTTCGATATTTTCTTCTTATATATGACTCTATTCCCGGATATCATCGTCCCAAGGCACCTCATCATACAGTGGTATTTACGGCCTATTATTATTTTCTAATTGCTGGAGAAAAGTGATTAAATTTACCCTTTCACTCGTCCCGTAAATTTATACTTGTGGACGACTTTAATTTACAACTGACGTCAGTAATGGTATGCCAGAGCACTTTTGAATACCAAACCTGACAACTTCCCTCCGATGTTTCCTGTTAAATATTCCGATGCCTCCCTAACGGAATACGTCTCCTATTGTAGATAGACATCTAGACCTAGACGTTTTCATTACGCGTGGGCGTGGCTGTGGGCGGAGCCTGTTGTAACCATCAAAATCCTGATTGGCTGCAGTCGGCGAAATATATTTATATCTCACTGGGCTAGTCACTCTTTGAGTCCTCAACATATAATGGTTCCATAAATTGGAGCTCCAGCCATTTTCCTAGTGTGGTTTCTTGAGACCCAAGGTTTCTCTGTTAGACTCTCCATTTCTCATAATCCATCGTCCTTTCATTCGGACAACCTCGCAATCTTTTATATCAATGTATTTGTATATAGCTCTCAAGTAGTTTTTAACTTGTTTTTCTCAGACTCTTTGTGAATCTCTTCCATCTTCAAGGTAGTAAACATATTATTTATAAAGAATAACACTGTTCATTTTTATTACGTCATATAATTTACATCTGAGAATCCTTATAATCTTAATATTTAAAAACAAAGACACATTTAAACAACTATTTAAGAAGAAATGATTATTAATTATAATTTATGTAAATTAAATTAAATTCAAATAAACAAAGCTATTCAACAAATAAATTGAAATTTTCAAGATTAAATAATCACGTTTATAATTTTAGGTTTTAAGTTTGGTTTTGGCACGTTTGAGTGTGATCAAATGAGTTGAAAAAATTTCAGTTGAAGATGTCATCTATCACATAAAAATTGCTCCGTTATAATCATACCCATTTAATTAATATAAACATAAGTTATTATTTATTCTCTGTGAGTGTATAGATGTTCGCCATTTTTTCATTTGAATTTATTTAAATGAGTTAAGTGGTATATTTACCAACTGAACCCTAATCATGTTTAACATTTTTTTCGAAAACTTTCGGATACCAATAGTTTTAGAAAAATAAATTGAAAAACTCTTTATTTTTAGTAAATATTTACGAAAATAACTGATTATTTTAACAGTAATTAAAAACATTGAAATGGAAATGAACTTATTTTCACACGACTTCAGGTATATATTTATATATTTAGGTTTTTTTTTTTTTATTAGAAAAACAAATGTATTATCAGATTCATTGTGAGTTTTACATGAGGTTTGATAAGTCTCCAAAAAAACTATTGGTGTGTGGTTCACTAAAGTATTTGTAGAAAATGTTGAAATTTCTATTTATAAAAGCATATAATGGTCTTTCAACTTACCAAGAACAAAGATTACATTCGAACGTTAAGGATTGTCTAATGAATTATACAAAAAATTACCAACCAGAAATGTATTTGATTAACATCATACCGACAGTGAGTCCACATTCTCTTATGAAACCAATAATATATTTTGAATATACCTTTCATTTATATTTAATTGTTAATTTAACAAAATATTCATAATTATTCTCATATGAAATTTGTTATTGACTTTGAAGATATTAAATGTCAGTTGTACGAATATATTGGCAAACAATAAATGTTTGCCATTTTAATTTTCCTTCAGTATATTTAATTATAAATGCAGTCAATAATACTGATTTAAAAAAAATATATAATAGATATTTAATATAAATATTTAGTTTTTTTTTTTAAAGGAAAATCTAGTGTCTTTTTAGGCTGTGAAACTTTTTTTTTACTTTCTAGTGTAATTATTTTATTTATTTTTTTAATCTGGTAACATACTCACAGTTCTGGAAATCTGCCTCTTCATTAGGAATTATTCTTTAATTGCTTCTAATATTGTCCATATTACTATTGTTTGTGAAAATGGACGTCTGTTACAATTTTTCATTCTTATTCTATTAGTGCTAAAGGTGACATTTTGTAGTCTGCTACTATGGAAAATAACAGAGGGAAATAAAGTATCCAAATATAAACTCATGTAAAAAAAAAAAAATAAATAAAAAAAAATAAATCAATTTTTACTTTCAATCTTTTGCATATGTTATACCGTAATATTTTCTTTTATCCTTATTTATTATCTATTTATTTAAATTGTTCTATTAGGAATATTATTTTATAGAGAGTTACAGTACGAGGATATAAAGGAATGTTCCTAAAATATCAATGTTTATATATAAATGAAAAAAAAATGCGATGTTATACGGTATGGATTTTTATGACAATATTAGGAGCAATAAAAGAGAATTTCCGGTGACCCATAACATTGCTCATGTTACCAGTTTATAGAAAAAAAATACAATAATTATAGTTGGGAATAAATTGGAACTTTCATGACCTAAAAATGAATATGCATAACAATAGATGGTAGAAAAAACAATGGAAAAATGAATTAGTTCGTATTTGAATAGTCGAAGTATCAATAGAATTTTATTTTTAAAAAATCTCCCTTTGAGAGGATTGAGACGACAATGACGACATTTCTCCACAGGTTTATTTATTTATTTTTTTATTTATTTTTTTTATTATTATTTTTTTTTTATTTTTATTTTTTATTTTATTTTTTTTTAAAAGGATGCTATAATAATAAATTTTTTCCTCGACATTTGTTGTTGTAGTTATGCTTTTCAAATCTGTTTGGCTTGAAAGAGGGATAAAATTTTATTTGACCAGCCCTAAAAGAGTGACATGCGCAGAAGAGAGCTGACAAGCATAGAGTGCACTTCTTAGCTGCGCCGCTAATACATAAACCCTGCCCACATCCACCTCCGTGATAGCATTATGGACTATCTCTCGTCGGGGGAGATAACATCGAGGATAGATTTACGGGTTACACTTCGTTCGTGATCCTTCGTTCAATGCTCGTGTACTTCCATGCGGGCTCCCCATAAGGACACTCCTCCGTGAGGTCCCCCCGCAGCCGCACAATATCCCACGGCATCTCAGATATCCAGATTTGTCCCACATTAGAAAGTTGATTGAGACATTTGCAATCCGTGTTGAGTAATGCAATATTCTCTGTTGAGATCTTTCTTGGTGATAATGAGTTGATTACTTAGTAGTGAGTACAGTAATAAGTAGTTTCATCGATATAAATGTCTTTCAGGAATACTCTACGGTAGTATACACAGCCTCTACGATGAGGGGGGGGGGCTTTTCTGGCTGATGTATCCCAAAATGGTAAATTTAAACCATGTTTTATTTTATTTTCTTGGATCAATGTACAATTGATCAATGGATTAATACGTAGTAAGTGATTAAGATTCTGCACTTCTTGTCATTGGTAAATACAATTTTCATATTTCGACTAAAAACTCAAAAGATGAAAACAAAGTAATTTTAATCAGCAAATATATTTATTCCAGTTTATAAGTTATTAATAATTAGTGTTGCCCAAATGCGAGACCGAGACGAGTCTTGGTCTTGCAAACTTAGTCTTGGTTATGGTCTAGACTCTTGCGCAAGAGTCTTGCAGTTACTTATTAGCTTATTACTATAGAGATATTACTGTAATTTTTTAAATAGGAGAAACCTAACTAAGCCCGAATGAAAAATTAGAGGAGTTAAATGCAAAAGTATATTGGTTATAGCAATTATTAACATACAGTAAGATTGTCAAGTATTAATAACTATTTTGCCTCAATTTTTATTCAAAAAGATTTATTTTACCAGTCTTGGTCTTGGTCTTGCAAAGCGCAAGATCAAGACCTATTTTCAACACTAAATTCAACTTGAAATATTTTCAATAAAAAACAAAATATTATTTGATTCTTTATTGATTTTTATAATGAAATTAAAATGCTTTTTTTTTCTTGTTTCGCAAATATTCTCGTTAGACTTTTAACGATCCTTGAAAATTATAGTTGATTAAAATTACAGATATGGAAATAAGCTAATAATTATTATAATATTCATAAAGCAAAGAAATGAAGTCATTTAGATACATGATTTTTACCTATCCCTACTTATTTTAATTAAGTGAAATGAGCCAATATTAACGTAAATTGAATAGAGAATTTCTTGGAAGAATTATGATTGGCAATAATCTTTAGTATTTGCAGTCGCCGAAGAAGATAATGTAGCAAAAACTATTTATATAGATATTTTCTTGAATGTAATTAATATATTTTTAGCTCTTAAGGGAAATCGTAATTTTGCTTTCAAATATTTCTGAAATAACTGTTGAATGAGCGAAGAACTATTAGAAAAAAAAAACACAGAATATAAACTTAGATAATATATATCCGTAGGCATAAAGTTTTGAAGCGGCGGATTTTGAGTACACCAATTACAGCAGTGCTGCCAACTGGTGCCATTAATTACCATTAATTAAAAATTATTACCCCATATGGTGGCTAACAGAATACTATAACTTAGCCAGAATGAGCCATAAACAAGATGGCGTTCTCTTATTTTTTTGTCGGGGCCTTTAATGTTAACTTTTATTTTACAAAAATTCTTCTGAGATCGGTAATGATTAAACGCGGTGCCCGGAGTTTTTATTGAATTTAAAAATGCTACTTAATGACCAAGTATTGGCCAGCTAATAGGCATCATTATGACCCTTATCATGTTCTTTGCTTTTATAATATCGCATTAATTTATTGCTGCATTGGTCATTAGGTGGATATAATCTGCGTCTGTGGCCGAAACGGTGGCGATAAGAACAACCGAAAACTCATTTTGTAATAACAACTCAATAATTAGATTTATTGTAATTTATTAATTAATGACTGTTATTAATTAGAATACGTTAATTAATAAATAGAACCTTCATTTAGTATTATATTGTTTTTTAATTAGTTAACATTCAGCTTTTATGAAAGAAAAAAAAAAACCTAACTAATTTTTATTCAAAAACAGAATATTTTGTAATTAATATTTTATTAACTTTGCTTCACTGATTGATTGACCTTGTGCTCCAAAATTTTGAAAATTGAGTCTTCGTTAACGATGAATGTAACATAATCATAATAAATCAAGTATACATAAAAATATATATATATATTTTTTTTAATTTTTACTTATTTATTTTAATTTGAATGCAATTTATTTTTTAGCTACCATGAACGCAAGTCATTTTCGAAAAATTATTGAAGTTCAAAACTCGACATAGTCTTGTAAAACGAAACGAATTCCTGATTTGATTTGTCAAGTATTAGGTAGTTTTTTTTATTGCGTTCCTAGCTGAAACGCAATAAAAAACATAATTTTTTAATCAGATTCTAGGTGTACAGATCGTTTTTAAAAACTTCGCCTATTCTGTAGGTGTGGCAGAACGTGAAA